TGGCCTCGACTATGATTGGCTGATTTTAGATTTGCGCGCGGAATGGACCGTCTGCGGGGCGGCTTCACTCGCTCTTCCTAAACTATTTACTTGTTTTTTCTCGAGTTCTTCTTATTTAGACGTCCCATGTCTGTCAGTTTAATGGCCCTATTGGCACTGCTGGTCTGGGTGGCACTTTTTTTACGTAATTCGGTTAATCTGGCGCTCTAATGGGCTTAGCGTTTTTTGGTGATTGTGAGGCCCTGCTCGTGTATTCCATTGTGGTGTCATTTTGTCAGTGGTAAATAGCAGATTATCCATTGCCATGACAACCGGTGAACTTGAAAAATATGAAAAATCCGAATAAATCTCGTTATGCTAGGCGTTGTACTGTTTTTTGTTTTGACGGTCAATGAGTTTTCTCACTCTAAATTTCAGATGGAGGGACGTTACGTTCTTGAGCTACGTGATCGCGATCCGGCTACTGTTGAAGACCTCGTGTTAGACGGCTGTGAAAGTGCTGAGATTGAAGGACTTAGCGACAAACTTGTGAAACTTCAGGTAAAGCTATAATGGTGTGTAGGTGTTACTCTGCCAACTCTTTTTACATGCACTTATCTGTTCAAAAAGTCTCTTCCAGAGTCTCAGCATGGTTCACGTTGGCTTACAAAGTCTCAAAAATTTGCCGAAACTTCCAATGTTGAGCAAGCTGGACATTTCGGACAACAACATCGCCGGTGGTCTGGAGCATGTAGCTGACAACTGCCCCGAGCTTCTCCATCTCAATCTTGCGTCAAACAAGTCTGTCCTTGAACTGTTACGCGTTTTCTTTTTTACACTTCTGATTCCAAAGTTGCCTTTGTTCTCAGGATCTCGAAGATGGAGGATTTGGAGCCACTGAAGAAAATGAAACTCGCTGAGCTTGACCTGTTCAACAATCCCGTTACCGCAGGAGGAGAAGGCGAGTACAGGTGTGTGAAAAGAAAGCGTGTTCTGAAGTGATTCTTTCTTGTAATGTTAGAGTTGACTGATTGATGGCATTCAGGTCGAAAGTTTTTGAAATGATCCCATCGCTGCAAATTCTTGACGGAGCTGATGTTAACGGAGAAGATGTTGACGATTCACTCGATGGAGAGGTTTGGTTTTATTTTATGATAACCTCACTTCTAACCTTTCATTACTTTATTATATGAAGTACTGGGCGAATGTTGTTAATGCTGTTTCTTATTAAAAACTTTCTGTTTACTTACACCGCTCCAGGTTGTATGCATTTGGCTTACTTCTTATGCAAAGGCTGTGGCTTTAGCCCAGTAACCATTGGGAGTTTTTTTTTGCTTTGCTCATCGTACTCTATGTTAACCTCTGGGGATATGTTGTAAGTAACCCCATTAGAGCTTACGCAACCACACACATTTCTTCCCGGTGGTCTTTAGGAAGTAGATTGGGAGATCTATTGAGCATTGTGAGCATCCATGATGGCTTATCCGTTTTCCTGTGATGATCTCTTCTTGCAAATCGGCTAACTTCAACGCGGGTCTCTTAGCGGAAGCGGAACATGGTTATAATTCGTTCGAAATAGAATGTATGTGATGATTCGATCCTTCTCCCATCCCTGCTGAAGACTTCTGGGACCATGTCACGGAGTTTTTGCGGTTTGGGGAGCTTATCTTTCACACAGAATGGCGTTTTCAGATGCGAGAATTGATCAAAGTCACATTCAAACTTTTGAACCTGACGCCGACCGGATCACCGTCGGTTACGGTGCTAATTTCGATGAAGCATCACGCTAGAAAGTTGTGTCTAGTGTGAGTATGCTTCCCTAAATCCGTGGGTTCATCTAGGAGGTTCCCGGTACACCCGTGATCCCGCAAGCGATGGGGCGTGTGACGGACGCGGGTTGGAGCATAGCCAGAGCAGCGTTCCCCAGCAGTTGTAGCCATTGGTGTAGCATCATTGGTGAGGAAAGTCGCCCCTGCCCCCAAATCCATGCCCCGGTCACACGCCCCACGCGTTATGCAGGAACATGAAAGTGCATGGAAGGCGGATCACGCTGTCAAAATACATCCTGACCCTGTGCCATCTTTATCTAAACGGGTACTATGGTATACCGCAGCCACTCAGTACGAGACAATAGCCGGAAATTATGGTCGTTGTACCGCACTCCATATTCCATGCGAGGCGCCTGACCTGTACGAAATCACCTACTTTCTCCTCTGGCGATAGCCCTCCACCTAAACACAACCTTATTTATTTTGTCAAAATTTTGTTGTTTAAGCGTGTGTTAAGCTGTTTTTAATGTAGCCTTCATTAGGATGGTCCTCGAAGGAGAGGATAGTGGAGATGAGTCAGGTTCCGATCTTGATGGTCCTGGTCTAAGCTATTTGGACAATAGCCAGCTGGTGAGTGGCAGTTTCTAAATTGAGTTCCTATGAGCCATTGAACAAGGATTCAATCCAGATTACCGTGGAAAATGAATGACTTCGACTTTTCAGGATGAAGATGAGTCAGAGGAATACAAGCCTGATGATGCAGATGAAGAGACAGCAAAGAGAGGATTGAAGAGGCGTAACGAGGAGACAAACGGTGACGAGTCTGGCACTAAGAAGAAGGCTGACGAATAAGCGGCTCTATCTAATCTTCTTTCCTTTAAACTAAATCGAGCGCAATAACTTTCGATTATGAATCCTCATTGAGCTTTTCATTGCTCATCGTGTGATGGTGTCGAGTTAGTGTGCAAATGTTGTTCGTTATTACCCACCGCGTTTGTTTATTATTATTTAAGGTTTTCTTTACTATTATTATTATTTTTTGCTAACGTGGTCCCTTTGATGGGTTTTGTTGCATATTGATGATTTCACTGGACATCTCGGTGCGGACCTCGTCATCACGTGTGCTCCCTCCCTCCATATGTAACATTACTTAAATAGGTGTGTCGCGACAAGCTATATTGTCGTGTTGAATAGGAAACGGTGTCAACTCGTTGCCTGTCTAAGGGACGTGGTTGTCGGTTGATCTTATGATGTGTTACGTGTTAATTTTTCATTATTTTGATGATCTAGATCTTTTTTTTCTCGTCAGTTTCGGATAAATATCTTTTTCAATGTGTTGTTTGTTGCAATGGAAAGCGTAGAAACGTCACAACATCGTACCTCCGCAGAGTCTACAGAGACTTGAAGTTTGGAAATAAAGCGTCTAAAAAGCATGAAGGTGGCCCTGTATCTAAATACTGGCGGTGTTGAGCATCCATGTTGAACTGTCTGTTAATCTTGGCATAGCACGACTTCTTTGGTGTGAAACTGTGTTAAAACCAGGCATTACCAAGAATTTGTTCGGCTCATGTTTCGGCCGTCATCCGAAGGTCATCCACAACTCCTCTACTCTTTAACAGCCGCGTTCACTTGCCATCGTACAGTGCCCGAATTCTGTCACGCTGCCTCGTCACTGAAGAATTGAGCTCATGGCAGTTCTCGTCGAACTCTGGCTCGACTCTTTACGCGCTAGCCGTCGGAGCGCGAGGTACTCACCTCCCGGTGAGCCAGCAAGGCAGTGTTGCTGAACAAGAAGGGAGGCCTGCATCCCATGCCATTGGCTTATCGCCCAATCTGGCTGCTTTCTGTGGTCTACAAACATATCACGCGACTAGATGAAGGACAGCCACGCAAGCAAACAGTGTTCTGAGAGATTATTGAGTGTTTTCCTGTCATCAGCCTAGTTCTCGAGTTGTTCGAGCGAAACTTTCACAACTCAAGGTTTTCTTGAGATTATCGCTGAAGTGACTCACAACTGTTTGCTTCAGGTTTTCGAGGGTTGGGCGGAATCGACAATAAGGAAGGTAGTCTGGTAAATTTGCTATAATGTTTTGGTTGTGGCTACAGTATTAATTCGAAGGTGTTGGTATGATTTTGAGAGCTCATGTTTCCCTTCTTTTCCGGAAATCAACGGGAAGATTTACATAGTTTCGCGGAACCAATTCAATAATATATGCTAGAGATCCCAGAGATTTTGTGAAGGAAATCGGTAGTTGATGTCATAGCATAGGACGTTGAAAGAAGCGTCCACGTCGACTGGTTTAGCTTAAAGCTTGACACCCTCCCATGATCGTAGCCGGAACGATACCTTCTTGTGTCCTTTCGTGCTACTCTCCACAGCTCTATTGATTTGGCCACCTCGGCGCGATCGATTTAGCTGATATTGACATTTTTACCTATAGGATCTGAAGTAGGACGCATCATAGCGGTGGAAAAGAGTCGCCTTTTAGCGTCCCACTCTCGCCCCACGTACGATTGTCTTAACCTATCGCTGTGCATCTGGTCTCGACTGATTGCGATAGTCTCTTGCCTCTTCCACTTTTTCACTCTTCACTTTCACTCCGTTTCACTTTGATTCTTTCACTTTCAACGAAATAGGAACCTTCTTCAGCACTCGAATGCTGCTCAATATTGAGGACTCTTCAACCCCTCCGCGCCCTCGTTTAGCACATTGCGGAACGCCACGCAGAGCATACCTCTGCATCTCACGGTAATTCCATCTATAGTGAAAAGCCTATGTTGTTCACGATGTCTAAAATCGTATAGACACGACTTCAGAAGACGAAGAAACAAGAGAACGATGCTCTGCATGTGTTCGCATACCCGCATACAGGGCAGGCTTTAACGATGAAGATATTTAGTTTTTCCTAAGTACGATCCGTCAGATCGTTTCCTTCTCCTTCACATCCGACCGGCGGTGGTATCAGGCTTTCTCAAAATGTTGCCGTAGTGTTTTGTGGCATCTCTAACTAGGGGACCAAAAAAACCAAGAATCGGGAAAAGTTTTCTTGGGCCAGATATGGCCCTCTTTGGATAATTTCCAACCTACGACGAATCATGACCACATGGTTGCGCACAAGATTCGCTATGTGTTGAGGAAGACGAACTACATAACCATTAGTGTCTCCAGTTCTATCCCTAGTGCTTGCGTGATTTTTTCTACACGGTTTCGGGGCACTTGTCAACCAGACGTGCTCTCACTGCGAGGGTCCAGGGGTATTTTCGAGGCATCTACCAGTCCAGTAGTTGAAGGGAGAAGGTAAAGGAGGAGGGATCAGAGAAGGAAGGAAAAAAAAGGAGGGAGGAAAAAAGGTGAGAGAGAAGAGAGGCTTCTCGGTTGACAAATGCCCTGAGACGATTCCTAACGCTAGAGAGAGAGAAAAAGAGGATTCTACAATGCTTTTCTTACAGAGATGGGTAGACCAAGAGCGTCTGAGGCCGATCCGCTTCGTAAATCTAAACGTGGACGACCAAGTAAGCATAGACGGGATGAACATGTCGTTACGCATACTGGCTTCGATGGGCATGCTAATGCTCCATGGTGAGTTATGCTTTGAGAAGTATCCGATCCCTTACTGCTATGGTAGCAGGTTGATTTTAACCTCACGAACAGCCCTTTTCTATTCTGAAGGTCACTATACAGCGCAGGTTGTGCAAGAACCGCTCCTACCTATTTTAGGCGCAAGACAGTGTCCATCTTCAAGCAGCCGGTGACTCTTGTGCACACATCTGGACGTGACACAAAGAAAGGAACTGAACAACAATTGAAACGAGGGCTTAGTGGTAATCGATCTCAAGAGAAACCTGCGCCGGTTAGTTCTCCTTGACAGATCTATATCGGCTCGTTCCATGTTGATCATTCGGGTGGAGTTAGGCCCACCGTTGTGTCCTCTTCATTAGTGAGTACCTCATCCTGGGACTGCAAGGAGAAAGAGCGTGCCAATGAGGAGGGCAGAATGATCAGCTGGGACTCTGCCTATGAAAAAAATTTTCGCTCTCCCGAAACTCTCGCGAATAACTCTTTATCAGGATATCGATTTGAATTCGGCACCTTTTTTATTTCATTTTTTAAGGTGATGTGGGCGAAAGCGCTTGAGAATGTGCAAGCTTTAATACCTACCGCTGTTGCTGATAAGGTACTGTAAGTTTTCTTGGAAACTTTGATCAAAGTGAGTCATTTCCCTCATTACAGGTGGACGTTAAGAAAACGGAATATCTCACCGAGAGCCTCCATCTTGCTGGTCGTCTCGAGAGAGCCAGCAGTATTCTCAGCGAACAAGCAGCCGCGGCTACTCTGTTTACTAGTATCCACAATCCAAATCAGTCAGGGTACGCGATTTTTATTGACCTGGCCGTTGTAACGCTACTAGGCCATTACAAAAATCTTATGATTGAACTCGAGAAAGGAAAGGAACTCTGTTTCAAAAAACAATTTGACTCGGAAGGGGAGAGGGGCATATTGCTGATTTTCATCGATTTGGAGTCATGTACAATCATGTGAAGCTCTGAAATAGTCTCCAAAAAGGGGGCATTTTGCAATTCCGCAAGTTCATTTTGTTAGTTGTTCCAGTTAAATAAGAGGTTCCATGTTGTTGAGACCCGTAAGCTCCTGTGAAGCTTCAATATAGTACTAGTGGGCCCTTTTGGCAACGGGAATTGAGAGGTCTCCACAAGTAGAATGTAAAAAAATAAGCTGAGTAACATTTGGCGCCCCTACCAAGCCGAACTACACCCAGTCCACCTCGAAGGCCTACAAACTCTTATGTAGAAAATAGTGCAGCCAGGAGAATGATGCTTGTAATATTCCGTATGTTAAAAGAGATTATAGGTCTCATATAAAAAGTTTGCTCCATTTCGCTGCTTCACAAGCGTTTGAAAGTCAAGTGAGCAAACTGAAAAACTGGTGAACTACCGAACACCCCCCCCCCTCCTGCCCTACCCAAGCTTGCAGAACGCACAAAATTCTTTCTCATCTTTGCTAGGCTGTGCTGGGTGAGCAAAGAAGTATTCAATTAATTCATTATTGCTTTTGCAGTGCTTTCGGTCAAACAGCAGACAAGGAAAAACTGGAAAGTAATCTGATGCTGTACGTTAATCCGGAGCAACCCATACTGCGAGTAAGTGAATGATTGTTTATTAACATTCATATTTTCATGCTTGTATGCTAACCTCTGAAATATGAGGTTTTTTTCTCACCATAATGGGGTTTGCGGGGTTAAGGTGATTCGTACACTAGATACTCCTCAGCGCGGGGTGCGTATTTAGGGGTTGTATGATCACATTTGGGGTGGTGACAGTTTCTTCTTGCTTATTCGTCGCGTTTCATGTGCACTGTGTTTCTGCCCCCTCCCCCCTGAATGGCTGGACAATTTACCATTTCTGATAGTTGATCAAGGGTGTTTACCAGTCTCTCTATGTTGGAGGTCGTAATGGTGGAGGACAATGTGAGGGGTCGTCTTAAGAGAAAAAAAATTCATCGACGCAATGTTTGACCTTAGAGGGGGTAGCACGAGATAACTCCGCGTTCACTCTGGTCGCACAACACTCGAAAGCTGAGCCTGCTGTGTTGGGGAAAAGGATCACTTGCTTGGTGCGTCGGTGCGGACGAACAGGCTTTTGCACCTTGCCGCCCACTTTTTTTATTTGCTTGACATCCATTTATCAGCTGCGGTTTTGCGAATTATTTGACTATGCAATTCTGAGCGCGTCAAATTTGAAATCTGAGGCGTCCTTTATCGGATTTTTTACTTTTCAACCCTTGATGAAGCCAAGTAATTCAACTTGTTTCAGCCGGTCACCGTACAACCGGAAGACATCTCAGCTCAGGAAAGGCGTGTTCTAGATGCTCGAAAAAGACTTCAGGAAGTGATTAAACATTTTGGTTGATCTCATGTTCAATGTGCTGTACCTAGTAATTGTGGATTCTCAGTATTTTTGTAAAAATGGGTCCTTGGCTGTGGTTTTACCCTATTTTTGCACCGTTGTGTAAAATCGTGCTAATCAATTCAACTATAAAAATGTTTCAATACTTCTATTGCTGTCTACAGTTTGCAGTTCGGGTGTAAAACGGGTGATGCAGGACAAACAGCAGTTAAGGGTTTGGAATTATTTCATCATGGTGTAGGGTGGTTGAAGTACGCCTTGGAGACTTGGATTCTACGAAAGCGGTATGAGCATGCGGTCAGCGTCATTCAACGCGCCACCGAAGAGCGATGCTCGGAGTTTCCGTTACGCGTAGATCTGGAGCTCCGCTTTCCGCCGACGAGTGAAGGTCAGAGACATAGAGACAGGCCGCATTTATTAAGCTTTCGAGGATCACGTGCCGAACCACACTCTAATGCTAAATTGAAAAGCAGGTTAGAGATCTACGGAATTCAAAAAAAGAAAATAAAGCGGCGACTGCCAGTTGTCAGGTTTTTCATGAAGGAAGCGGAACGAGCTGGAAAGTCCACTGCGGAAATTGGATCGCGTTGAATTGCATGAGAACTATGTGGGAGTCGGGGCAAGGGAATATGCGGCCTCCTCACCAGACTCGCAGTTCGCGCCGCCAAGAATATTTAGCATAGACTAGAATCGGCTTGGTTCTAAGTGGCGAATCGCGCAAGAAAAACGTTAATGGGAAGGAAAGTCCCCAAACCCTCAAAGCGATCCTCTCATTCTCCTCCGACCAATTCCCGAGCATTGGACGGGCGTAGGGAGATTCCACTGTCGATATATACCTCTCCTCAGGTCTACTTTTCACTGAGAATATTGCCGCAGCTACCAGAAGTATCCAGCCAAGATGAACATCTAGTAACCGTTGCTTATCTAAAACCTCCATCCGTGACGGCAACAAGCACGTCGTGACTTGGGTTCACCGTCAGACCATGACGTAATTAATCTCACCGCTGGTTTGTGTGATAGTGGTAATAGGTTTATTCGAGGCGGAGTAGCCTCGCTGGTGGATTGAAATGGTTCCAGCTATCCAGCTGAGTACCTTGGAGTAATCTGATGGAATACATACGTGTCATAAATCACAGTCTCACGAGGATCTTAGGTTACACCTATCAAGCATATCGTAAAAAGATGCACGGCCAATTCTGACGGCAATCCAGAAACGCCATAACGGCGTTCAAGGCTAGTGGCACGACAAACCCCAAGAAGAGTAGGATTAATACGCCGTTTTCGCGGGAGCGTCTGACAGGCGCCACATTGCTTTCCGAGGAAGGTGCCCTTATGAGGGCCCTATGAAGCCACGACATTCCGGCCCGACACGCCCGCGCGCCACAAATGACGAGTGTTACCTGTTTGCTAGCAAATTATGAGGCGCAAAAGAATCTGTGAAAGCGGCCGGATGCTGCATGAATATATTGGTACACATCTGCAGCCGTAATCTTCGTAGCCGGTTTACAGGCAAAGTATGCCCACGCGGAAACTCGCCCAAAATGATTTTCAAGACATGTCAGAAAGATGCTTTTTTCTCGCAATAATTTTGAAACCGTATGCACCCCGTTTCTTTCGAACAGTTCCCCGCTGACAGCCGCCCTATTAGCATTTTAGGCCGAGCACCGAATCATCGTGCCAACTGCCTTTAAGTGAGAAAAGCCAAGCTAGAATTCGTACATGATGGATGGAGAAGGGGTTGTGCTCAAAGACTCACCACACATACAAACCTATAGTCACTAAGTGACTTCTCTGAGGAGAAAAAAAGCAAAAAAGAATCATGGAGAACACCCTAAGGACCTCACTAGTCGTTCTTCGCGTCATCGAACGCTAATACCATCTTAAACAAAAAAAAACGGAAAACGCGGTGTAAAAACTGAGCTCGTGACGGAAAACAGCCTTTGAAATTTGAGCGGTCGCTACAGAAGCGTCAGAACTGCAACTGAAGAAGGCCGCAGCGCCTTCGGTACTTACTGTGAAGTGGAACAGTCTCAGCGACTGCAGATCAGGCTACTTGGATAAGGAAGGGCGCTCACGAGTCGGGTGAGCGCTGGGGCTGTCTTTAAAAACGAATTTTCCTTATGGGCGTCCTGCTTGTCCATGAAGGCCATTTTACTGAATTTGGCTCTGTAATATGTCACCAAGCCACTTCATGGACAGCTATCGTCGGCGCCAATAATTCTCTGATGCTCCACCCTGGCCGAAGTGCTATCAAACTGTCAACCGATTTGGGTGTTAAACGTTCTTTTATGAGCCGACGAAAGCGATGATAGTGTGCGGAGTGAGTAGGGTACAGAACCGTTATCGTGTTGTCAGTAATGTTCAAAGGGATGCCGCTGATAGACAGACGCTGCCCCAATCGCCGTCCTACTTGATCACCTTAAATGTTGACTTCACATTCTGACCGTCATTTGCTGCACAACGTCCTTTTGCCTTCCATGGGGGTACTGTAGGCAGTTGTTGATTTCATCCATTTCTGCCATTTTCTTTCGCAAACTCTTACTTTTCGTCAGAATTTCTGATGTCTCAAATTATTGTGGTTAAGTAAAGCCTAAAGTCAAGTAGCACTGTACTCTGATCGAAATTTTAGATGAAAAAAGCGTTCAAGATATTCCGCCCATGGGAGGACGACACTTCACCGGATCCGCCAGCGGTTCCTCTTTTGATCTGGCAGATATCACCTACTCTGAGCAGTTTCTCAGCTGCATTTCCCAGCTCGTCCGGCTCATCAACAGCTTCTCCGACTCATTCTCCACCAACCCAAAAACGGCAATGTATTCGATGTTCATGTCCATTCTGTTTGTTACGGTAATTTTTCTTTTTTATGGTCTACTCGCAATGTCTGTATGATTCGAGGCAAAGTTGTAAGGTTCCACTAAAGTTGTTTATGAGGCCTCAGGCATGGGTATGTGGTGTGACCGTCACAGCAGTCTCCACATCGAAATGATTGGTGGCCAGGTCATAAAGACCACCCATTTGACCAGTCGTTTTCGCTGAGGAATCTGGAGCGTTCCAGAGGACTGGGCTGAATACGGCACTAGCTTATTTTCCACCAATTGTGGAAGCCGCACTCGACCACAATTGGTAAAAATCTAGCTGACTGCCGACGCACCCAGGCCTCGTCTCCGAAAACGCTACGCAGCCCCCGCAGCGAAACGATTGTAAGATAGGGGGGAGACATGTCTAGAGATGGTTTTTTTCCTCTGAGAATTTGTTATAAGGTGCATCCATTTTGCCGCTTGCCCTGGACCAGACACGCGTAGGATGTAAGTGTCCTTTAGCGCTATCCTCCAGTAGAACATTTCAGGATGTTATCTCTTACACCTAAGATTAATGTCATCTACCTTCCCGCTTTTCCATGCCTTCCACTTCCCAGAGAAACTATTTTGATAACGAAACGGAAGTTAGTCAAAACCTTATACTGTCTAATATGTGCACCTATTTTCTTATCAAAAGGATTCCTCCACAGCAAGTAGTCACTGCTCAGCGACCCATATACGAGCCCACCGATGAGAAACTCCTGAAGCATGCCATGCCAACTGAGTCTTCTGCAGAATGAGTATCCACGGGAAGGACTAGATACAGAGAAGCAGGCAAGCGAGCTCTTGGGGAGATTCAGCAACGCCGTGGGCTTCTGGCCTTGCGTTTTCCAATGCGAAGCATCTAGACTTCTTCTTTGCATTGAGAAGCATGCACAGAGTAGTACATCCGGACTCTTGGGGGCCTTTTTCACTTGAGAAGCGAAATAGGGAGCAGACTAGGAAACCGAAATGCCTTACCATTGTGTGGAAGTTCCTACTGTTTCCAATGATAAGTATTGACTGGTCTGGTAAAAGCACGTTGATTCGATTTTTGCTTTGCAGTGGGTTGTCCTCCCTTTTGAGGTTGCGTTCATACTTTGACAGTGTCTATCAGCGTTCACCAGAGTCGCCATGCGCACCAGGGTCTCGACGGCACTGGAGTATGGATTCGATCTGTTGTTTCTGCCAGTTTCCCACCATCGACCAATAGTGTACAGCGACGGTATTTGCGCTTTTGTTGTTAGTCCGGTCCAGTTGCACACATCACAATTTCATGGGATCCAATCCAGCTGTCTCCTTTCTCATGCTTCCCCATACTCTACCAACAGTCTGCTACCCATTACTCTATCTCCATTACTCTCTGTCTTGGTCGCTGGTTGTATGCTCGTGGAAGCTAGATCGATATCCATGCTTTCCTAGTCCCTCGAGACGCTGATGGTCGCTGGTGGACGCTGGTAGACGCTGGTAGACGGCTGTAGACGCTGCCATTCGCTAGTTCGACATCTATGCTGTCCTAGTCGCAGGCGCTGAAAAACGCTGCCGCAAAGTATGAACGCAGCTCGAGGGTGCTCAGACATACAATATTCCTGGAAACAGAAGCATGTATGCCTCTGGATGTGCGGAACGAGGACAGCGGCCACTGCTACGTTTACGTTTCCTCCTCTGCACCCTCTCGAAATGTGACGTAGCTTACTTGGCGTCAGAACGTGCCACCCTATCACTACCCTCCTAGCTGTCAGCGAGAACACGATCTATGCCCAACTGTATTTATGAACTATCTTCGCGACGGGAGGTTCTAGTTACAGCTACATGAAGTTCGCCTTCTGAAGGGCTTTTATGCATAGAATTAAATGCTAAAACGATTTTTTTGTTCCTTCCAATTTATTCGTAGTGATTAAATCGGGATTACTGTAGAAGCTTGAATAAGTATGCTGTTTGCTGAGTCCTTTACGTTTGAAGGGTGGGGCTGAACGAGAAACTGCTAATCTACCCTGATCCTATCTTCAAATAGCATTAAGGGATGACAGCTGTATCACACGATATCAGTACAGTACTGATCACTGTGTACTCGTGGTGAATTGGGGTGAACCTTGTCCTCTACCGTCACTTTCCCTGTTGACCTTTTAATGCTCTGTGTTACACGTGGGTAATGCGGAACCTGAAAGCCTTCCCAGGGTACTTCATTCGTTGGGGATTTTGGTCAAATCCGTACGACCCCTCTTTTTTTTCTTGGGGGGGGGGAATAGACACGACTCTTCCCCCCCCCCCCCCCTGGCCCTGCACTTCTCATAGCTGTCGAGCTGGAGGGAGGGGAGAGGTAGGGGCTAAATAGCACACTTGAAACGGGAAACAGCCACTAAAGAAAACACGACCTTCCCTCTTCCTACCACCTTTCCGGGATTCCCCGAGAACTTTCCTTTTTTTCCAAAAATTTCGTTGTCGAGCGGAGGAGGGGAGGGGGTATATGGTACATATGAAACAGGAAAAAAAGCAGTTCACCTCTTTCAGGAGGCCAGAAGCCACATACGACCCCTCCCCCTCCCAACAACAAACAAGTACGACCCCCCTCCCTTTACAACGTCCGTGAAGCGAGAAAAATCAACTATCAAAATAAATTTTCTCAGTTCAAATACGACCCCCCTCTCCGGGCGACCAAATACGACCCTCCTGTTAAGGATTCCCTAATGGCGATGTGCCCTGGGCCCTTCTGTTCCTTTAAGAATGTTTAACGTTTTCAATTAGTCGTTTCCGTTGCGGATGCTGGCCAGGAGCAGGAGGGCTGTATTTGGCCCAAATCAGCCCGTTTTCTGCGAATGTTTGGCGCTTACCGCTTTTTAACAGTGGTTTTAGAGCGATGTTGCTGTTGCGTCCAGGACCTTGCTAATGCACCGCCTCAGCATCGCAGCGAAAAAGGCTGTACAATGCTCACAGAAGTTTACACGACATTCTGTGATGCTCTTCAATGATCGTCAAGTCCTGACGAAGCAAGCCAGAAAGTGCTAGTAACCTCGCGGGGTGCATTCAACTGATTCATTCTGCGAATCTAGATTTACCGTAATGGAGCTGAGGATTTTTGCACAAGCCTAAAGAAGAAGGCGGCTCTGGATGGGCGTTTTGAATCAAACCCAGACCGAGGGGATTAGTTCGAACAATCTGAGGGACGCTCTAACTGTAGCGGAATTCCCTTGCTCTGACGAACATATTCTAAGCGAGCTTAACAGGGCGCACCATGTACCGGACGAGTCACCGCATGCGTCGTGAGCGGCGCGACCTCATCAACTCGTGGTAGATTCGTACTTGTTTCCGTCTAGGGGCACATGCGAGATGGAAACCAAACAAACTCTTTGAATCACCCCCACCTCTGAAACTTCAACAAAAAATTGTATTAAGATGATAAACGTAAAGACACTATATGAAATCAGATCAAATTTAAACTACTAAACTAAACATAAACTTCCAGGAGAGCCGGAGGACTGCAGTGCGATAACCCTGTCCATGTCTGCAATGTTCCACACTGTGGTAAAACGTACAAGAAAACCAGCCATCTCAAGGCTCATTTAAGGTAGGAGTTACGGCCATTATTGACATTACTATATAGATTAGTTATGCGGATGCTTAGGCATGTCAGGAAGGCTGGTTTGGAGTGGCGCCAACCCCTTCCCACACTCTCGGGCGCCGGCCATTTTTTTCTTTTTTTCCTTTGGCAAGCGACAAGACAATTTCGTATCGTTCGTATCAGTCGCTTTCCAGCAGTTGTTGTTGCTTACCCCCTTCAGCAATGGGTGGAGAACGACCTGGCCGCGCGCCAAACTCATTCTTACTAAAACACCCCCTTGATCCGCAACGAACAGGGCGGTACATTCACAAAACCGTGAGGTGGAGTAGCGGCATACTCACTTAGTTTTTCATTACGAGCTTGGAAATGACATCCATTGGCTGACCATTCGGTGGCTTTGCCGTGCTGGGAACTTGGAAGCATATGGAATCACGGAATCCTTTCGAAGTTCCGAAAGCGGCGGATCCGTATAATAGCCAACTGATGTCATTACCAATTACCATGGGCTTGAATCAATAAATCTGGCAACTATGCACTTCTCGTTTCCCACGGAGATTTTTTATATTCAGGTCACATGTCGGCTCGAGACCGTTTCAGTGCCACTGGTTTCAGTGCGGCAAGTCGTTTTCACGATCGGATCAACTTCAGGTTAGGGATCTTCGACTTTCATTCAGAATCATGAACAAGACTGAATGGATATCTTAACCACGCAACTGGCTCCGGGGATCAGCTAACACTTACCAGGCCAATCTGATATCTATTAGTAGACTAGAGAATAATCGGAAGTCCACTCTGCTCACCAAAATTTAAAATGGGAGCCTTTACTGACACTCGAAATCCCTGAGATGTGGTAGGCGTGGCTGCGTACTTCAACTAAACGTGGCGCTGGCTGTGCTTTCAGAGGATTTTTTCCATTTTGACACAATTACGGTCAAGTCTCTGTCCAAAACGGAAGAAGATGACAGTTGCTTGAAAATGAAATATCCCACGGGGAACTCGATGTAAGCCCTCTTCAACTGCCACGCCTACTCCGTGTCAGGGATAAGGAGTGTACTAGCCTGTGCTCACTGAGCCATATTGGCCTCCAAATTTGGCTCCTACTTGAATTTACAGGACACGAGTAATTTGATAAAAATCGGCAAACATGCAGCGATCAATAAATCGACAGCCGACTGATTTCAGCGCCATTTACGAGCACACACTGGCGAACGACGGCATCAGTGTCCAAGGTGTGGACGAGGTTTTGCCCGATCTGACCATCTGAAGCAACATCTAGCCAGCCAACACCCAGTGTTCATGTGAATCACTACCACCCAAATTCATTTTACAAATTGTAGAAATAAAGAAGTATAAAATGTGCAAACGTGGAATTTCTTTCTTCAGACTTTCAATTTTCAGACCTTCCCGCAGCTCCTAGGTTGGTCTAGGAACCGTGAAGGTTTACCTGACTACCACTGGCAGAGCAAAAGGAAGGTGGCGTCTCTAGCCACTGCATCGCTTGCATTCTTCTAGGAATTGCAGATCAAAAACGAGGTAAAGCCCACGCTGTTCAACAAACGGTGGGTTGACTGTCTCCGCCCATTTCTCCACTCTGGACTGCCTCCGCTCATTCCTCCGTTCATATTACCAGAGTGAGCCGTGTCTCCGTGGCAGCAAACAGTTTCTTAGGGAGCACATGCTGTTGAGGAAATTCCATGACAAAATTTATCACAATCAATGCTCTGTATGAAAGTAGGTGGGCAATGTTCAGGCTGCTTTGACTGTCACCGTCGTTCCGGTTGTTCATCATCATCCGTACAGCCACTCCTTCCATAAATACTTACTTCACGTTCGAAATAATACATATGGTCCTTGATACCGTAGTGCAGATAATAGCCGTTGCTGGAAAAAGAAAGGATTATTTTCCGAAAAAATTCCAGGTTATCTCATTTCAGTTCTGATTGACCGTGGTTCAAAAAATTACATGAACAACTCTACGAAACATTTCATGGAAGCCTCTAACTCTCAAAGACAGACCCCCGCTTGACCAGCTCGTAGGATTTCTTCCTTGCCCAAGTGGTTCAGTGCGTAACCGCAGCTGGGTTCCTTTTTTCCTTTTCACAATGAGTGACGAAGAGGCTGCGGCAATCGTATTTGCAGTTATAAAGGGTAGGCCGTACAATAGTGGCTTTGAACAGCTTCAGGCAGAAGAGTGGGCACATTTGCTGCTCAACATCAATGATCCAGTTATTTCTATTTTTGGAATTTGGGCATTACTAGTTTTTGCCCACTAGCGTATGGTCGTTCCTGCTGCAGACGCTGAGCGTGTCACGTGGGCTGGGATTGGCGCCGCGCCAAACTGCCAACTGCCCCAAACCCAGCCCGCCAGGTACTCCACTGCGTCTGCAGCGAAGACGCTTTTAGCTCCCTTTCTGAAGCAGCGCAGGGGGTAAGAATGTGTGCTCGGCCTGCTTCGGGCGGATCCAAGGAGGCTAGCCACTGAAAGCGCCTCCGATTTGCCTAGGCTACATTCCCGCGCGACCTGTGTGTGAGACTTCTATTACTGATAAACCATGACTACCCGTGGTTGAAGCCTATTGGAGTTTTGTGCTCTTCAAGCGCAGTAATTATTGCAAAGGTGGAAGCCGGGATGTAGACCGCCGGTCTCAAGTCACGGAGAGCGCAGCAAAAAAAGGAGCTAAAAGCACGCCATTAGCACCGGGATGCAAGTTGTTCAGCAGCAGTATGATGCGGCGTGTCATATCAAGCAGTCGGGAGTCGGGACATACGGAGGGGGGAGGGGAGCCAAATAAAGACACTTCGGGCGAGTCACATATCATACTCACGCTAGTCCCACTCCGTTCTCTGTCTGGGCTGCAAAACACTCAGAACTAGAATCGTAGAATACTAGAGGGCGGAAGATACCCAAGATGTTCCTCGATAAGCAGGAGCAGGCTTCTCGCCGATCACCTTCATGTACACCAAAATATGAAGCCATCTGCAATCGCAGCCTAACTGAAGGAAGCCCATGGAATTTACGTCACCCATACAGCTGCGAAACTTCCAATGGAGTCCACCCATGAGCAGATACCGTGGAGGCGCGCAATCTAATCTGACGACCTGGCCAACATTCGAGCAGGCTCGACAACGTCGCTACACGATCTCGGGATATCATCTTCATGCCTCCAGTCGCCAAGGCGCGGGTTGATGGTTTGGACCGGAAGTTCTTGGAATGGGAAGACCGATATTTTCTTCGCAGACCCCGGACTGAAAGCGAACTGTGACTGTTCGTGAAAACTTCGTACTGCTACCGGATGGCGCTGCCACCCCACAGCGATTTGGCAGGAAAAAACGTTGGAAACTTTTCGCGCTCCTTGGAATGGTAAGACCGTTGAGACATGGGGAGAGCGGGAATATCCAAATTGTCACCATGTCACTAAACCCCGCTCAATTACAGTGCTGCGGTGCGAAGGCTAATCAGGGAATCCCTGCTCGGGAAAATCAACGACCTTGCTGAACTCAGGCACCGAATCTCTGTCGCGTGGCCAGAATCTCTTGATGGCTTTCGTCCAGAAGGCTGTGGCGGAGTATCATGATAGTGTACAATGCGCTGTTGAATATGGTGGTGAAAATGTCCAGTCAGAATTTGATAAAGTGTAACTTATATCGCTCTTAAAAGTCGAGGGAGAAGAGTGTTTTTTTGCCCCCCCCCCCTAACGCCTGTACTTCGCGTAGTTTGCTCGCTACATGTACACTGAGCTAAGGAATATATAGCCTTGTTTTCGCCTAGGATGCCGGTTGTGGTCAGGTGAGCTGGTTTCCACGGCACTGCGGATTTTCCAGCTAATTTTGGGTCGCTTGCATAGTTACAGCTTGGTGAAAAAGGCCGGCGCGCGCGCGAACCCCGTCTCCTGACACGCCCCACACCCCAGCGGAACAAGACTGCACCTGAATTTCGAAATGTAAGAATGCCAAATCGAAGTCGCTTATCGGAATTTCAATCCAAATTGACCTGAGGTTTGGCGTCGGCTAACAAAAGTTTTGAAAATTCTAAATATATTGGCTTGCCAGCAGAGCAGTGTTCATTGACGTCTGAACGCGCAATTCGCGGTAGCTGCTTTCGGTAGGGCCGTATGCCTTTTGCTCCACGTGCAGCGTGTCCGATCCTCAAACAATGGTAGACCTTTGCACACCCTGAACATAGCGTTTCGCGTCATGTTCGACGGGAACCAAACTTCCGTGCCATGGTGGTACGGCGAGTGATTCAACAGCGATGCACAGGAGTGGGATATCGGTCGAATCGCACACGCTGGAAGGTGAGCCACCTGAAATCATAAAGGGAGGGAATAGTGACTGTGAACAAGCAAAGGGAAAGCAAACAGTTCAAGCGCTAAGCGCTCCCTTATTCATTCATTTGGTATGCGCCATGTGCCTGACTTCAGTTCATGATCGTCTTGTAGTGTGCAAGGTCTGCGTAATGTAATATGGGCTGACCGGTTAATGTTCCTGTTTCTAAGTGTTTTGGGAGCTAATAATGTTGCGGCGGGTAACCCTCGTAAATGTGCTTATGGTTAGTAGCATACCTATTCCTGTGAACTGAATACATGTGAGTACCGGAGAACGTTTCAAGCTCTCTGTAAGCCTTATCATCACTTGTCGCACACCTTATAACACTTCACCAAACTTGCCAGAATCGCCTGCCAAGGTTCGTAAAAGGTGGAGAAGTGGCAGTCCTAGTTAGGTTACGCTAGCAGTTTGTCAAGCTTGTCAGGAGCTTACAGGGTATTCGACAGGAATCCACAGGAACACACGAGTGCGAAGATACAAAGAAGAACAAAGGCTAGATTGAAAAGCCTAACACGCGCCCCCCCCTTTCCCAGAGATATTAAGCGCTCTTTAGCGCTACCTATATTAAAGGTTTTAATGCTTTGATCGTTCAATGGAAGGCAAGCATCATTGGTTTGAACAAGCTCCGATCCTATCGATGACAAACGAACTAATAAAGTATCATAAATGTCTTTCCAAAAAAGCTACAGAAAAGTGCCAAGAAAAGTTATGGGATGTGGCAGTTTTTTCTAAAGAGGACTCTTCCTTATTCTCTACCAGGCTAAACTTTAGTAACAAGATGAGCAGCTGAATCACGCTGCACTTACCAGATCGTACTTATGAACTATTCGCCAACTGTTCGAAACCAGCTCACTATGAGTCATGGCATATTCGAAGTTTCCGACCCGTGGCTGCCCGTATGTGATTAGATCCAATGCCTTGAATGACGAGGAACATTGTCAGTGTTTCCCTATTGTCCACCAGGCAGTTCGAGAATTGTGCTTAACTTTGACAAACTCTATTCAATGAGATTGCAGTCAAAATTTCAACAAGTTTATACTGGGACGTGTTAGTTTGTAACATTGGCTATCGTTGTCAGGGGGCGGCGAAGCCAGCGCGGCAACGAGCGCTCAGCGTTCGGCCGCTGTTTTTCCTCTACAGCAAATGGTTGACGTGCCTATGATCGATGTGGGGGAAGGAATCCAGCCACTGGGGATAAGGGCCGCGGATGGGAACCGCTGATTGCGACCCGACAGTTAGTGGCGATATAAACTGTATGTAGATTTGGGGATGGATTTTTGTAAGGGGATCAAATCCCACATATACCCTCCTTATCCCTGAGCCAGAGTAGGCGGCGTTTTGAACAATGGCAGTGGAGCTGGTTACTCGTGCCATATTCCGAGCCTGGGACAGCTGTCCCACATTCGTTTAACAGTGTTAAACACCGTATACGCAACAATTGTGGCAAGATGAAAATTTCCCACGCAGAAGCATAGATCCCTTCAGGTTAAACGTTAAACATGCGGCACTGGGCGTCGCGCATCTTAGGGATCTGTCGATTTATATTTACATTCAATTCACATTATCTTTTTGGCACCTTTATTCGACTTTTTGCCGCGGCCGCATGCGCCAAAACAGATGTTATGTCTGTACCTGTCCGCCGTTAGACGAATTTTCGTCTGAAATCTACATCATTCCAAAAAGTAGGGCTAAAAGAGGAAATGGTGCCATAACGTTATCATGTGGTCAGTTTTTGTATTGAGATGTACACCTACCTGTCCGTAAGGGCTGGATGTCGGTGAGCGTACAGAGTGGATGCAAGACTAGCCAGGGCACCTCCTAACGAGTGACCAGTGAACAGGATGCGGTACGTGGGATATGTCTAGATAGAAAGACTCCATAATTGAGATCATAGCTCCTTCATGAAAGAGGACAAAGAAACAGGGCAACGGAATCAAGTTTTACTGCCAGGAATTGCTTCTGTTTATGTACAGAGCGCTTAGCTGATGCGTACGAACTCGAAGATAGTTCTCATCTTAAAGTGCCTCTCCTTACGCTACTAAACGCAACGATTATTTACCGTCCAACCATATTATCTACGCTATTGCTCAGTGACTCATTTATGAGGGGAGTTGGAGTAATAACTTCAGTGGTAGGGTCTCAGCTTACGCTTTCAGTAGATTAGATGAGAAAGGAATCTGTGGGTAAAGTCAGGGGCTGCCACCTCAATTAATGTGTCCCTTTCAAAATGTCACAAGAGGAAGGGTAAGCAAGCGGGCAATCGGCCTAGACTTGCGCTAGCAGATGGAGCGCGGGCATTTCCCTAAGACAGTGAAACCCACTTACTTTCCGTAGCTTCGTAATCACTGCATACATCTGCTTCCAAATCGACTGCAGCGCTACATAAAAGTAGTGTTGCACGGATCCACCAGCACGAAGCTAAAATTGAGTAAGATTAATCTTCCACGACTGTATCGAGACCTCTGGAAAATTCCCAAAAATATTGCAGATTTTTCCTATTTCGAAACCGAAAGCGTGTCTTTTTTTAGCTTGTCACCTGTGGGAGTGGAAGAAGAAAAAGGTGAAAGTTCTCGCCCGTCGAGTTCAATCTCTTTTGGGATGCTGCACGCATTTAGGATCGTAGTAGCCTATGGGATGCGATATGGCCTATAATGCCTATAATGACTTACGGGGGCCAGCCGATGTACAAGTCAGTGTTCTTATCCTCCCAGACGAATCTGGTACCAATTTACCGTCCCTGGAGGGTAGAAGGCTTTGGTGGACTAGACGGGAGCCGATCCAGCACTCCACCTCCCGACCGCGCGTATGGTAAGCGTGTCACTTGCCGCTACACCACCTTAGCCTCAAGGAGAGAGTGCTTAAGGAAAATTGCTACTAATGTTCACCTTTTTCTTTGGTTCGCTCATGGTCTCAATGAGTTCAGTGATGAGCTGGACTTTCGTGCGCGTTCCTCGAAATGCGACGATAATCCAATCCTCTCTGGTCGCCACAAAACCCCAGCACTGAAATGCAGCAGAGATTTGGTAAAATTAACAAAAAAATCAATCTGGAATTCTTCTACCCCTCCCCCCCCCCGATGAAACTTGGTGGCCGCAAGTGTTTTTAAGGTATATTTCCTGCTCGCTGTAAGGGCAGAACCAGCCCTAACACTGCATCTTCGCTGGACACTCTTTTGCCGGGACGGTAAGGATAAGGAAAGCATCTATGGAGAACACAGAATGGTAGGCCTGACTCCGCCCACACGACCAGCGTGAACTATGCCATCGAAGAATGTAGGTCTTCAATTGAACACAGTGCCACCACAAACCCAGCTCTCTCTCTGGGAGCGTGGAACCCCTCCAAGAGAGAAATATAAGAACATCAAAGGGACATCAACAGGGAAAAGTTACCTCATCTCTGAGGTAATCACATGGCAAAGCCACCCGATAGACCAAAGATGCGTTGATCGGTCTCAAACACACAGTCGGATCTTCCGCGTAGGCGGCGGCTGAAAATGGGTGAAAATAGCAAAGAAACTCCATCTGACAAGATCTTGTGAGCAGGAAATGATGTTTCAGGTTTAACTGGAGCAAATGTCTGAATTTGGATCTATTTCTGACGTAAACTTCATGTGACAGCCAAGTCAGTGTCCCAGCTACGGATCAAAGGTTTTCTCTTCTGCTACAGTCGGAAATGATAGCTTCAGTTATGCACAGATGTAGGGCGTAAGGGGGCGGGGATACAAAAAAGGCAAAAAGGCGCTCATTGCAGGACCGACCCGAATGCATAACGCGCCGCCCATAAATGGACGACCGTACCTGATGCTCGTATTGCTTCATTTGCTAAGTAAAATATGAAGCGAAGGGATTGATATGAAGCGGCTGCGGTGCTGCATGGATATATGAGTACATACGTGCAGCCGTACCTACCGTAGCGGTTATTGGCAAGATGCCTACGGGAAACTCGTCCAAAATTGCTTTTTGAGTCATTAAGAACGAAGGCTTTTCTTCGCAGGTTTTTGACCGTTTCACTTCGTTTTTCGCCATTTTCCCACTATATAGCGCCCTGCTAGCATTTTAGGCCAAGTACCAAATTATCGTGCCAACTACCTTTCAACTGCCAAGTTGCCAAATAAATTCATAAGTCGATAAAACATAAGAGCCCGTAGAATGTCATACCTGCAAATTCGAAAGCCCATAATGCTTGGTGAAGATCGAACAGCGTTTCATTGCCTGGTTCCTTATCGATGTGATTTCCCCTATCAGCTTTGACGAATTGTGGTAAAAGGTAATACAGTAATGTTAATATCAGGTGCATAAAATTAGGATCACCTGAAACATCTGATCTCACCGAGCAGCACTATAGTCGTCTTTGTGGAGGATAGCTATCGATGAAGAATTTTTAAAATTGTTTCCATTTTATCATAAATTACATATGAAATCGAGAATCAAGGATTTCAGTGAAGTAGCGAATATTTGGTCCAGGTATCAAATTGTGCCTCAAACTTTGGCCGGAGCTACCAAGGATTCTTCACATGTGAAGAGAAACAAGAAAAGGAGAATTAAAGTAACCAAGAAGTGTACAGACAGGCAGTGCATGCGGGATAATGAAGGCTGAACAGATGAATAAGTGAGTAGGGTAACATGATTCCCAAAGAAAAATCATAAAACCAAGGCGATGTAACAGAAAAATTCTAAATAAGAAAAACAGATGGCACGGAAATCAGGTAAAAAGGACGAAAACTCTTATACTAGGGGAAAAGGGGAAAATTCCTGCCACACTTCAAGATCTGAACGTCCCTTGGAACTTCTCACCTGACTCCTGTAAGATGTTCTGGATACCTTCACTAGAAGGATTCATAGGGGAACACCTATTAGATTTTTGAAGTCGAGTGTGGATCGTGCCACCTTTGGGCCCCCTTATGTGCTTTGACTTCCTCCCTGATCGTTCTGCAGAATTCAAGGAAAATAGCACCCGCGCTATACTCGACTAGGATGCTTTTGCCTATGCATATCTGGTTCTAGTGTGTATCAGGGCTGGAAAGCTGGAGATATTCCTTGTGGAGATAACCAGGGCTTTAGTGGGACTTTGGAAAGGGATAAAGGCATTTTACTCAACTCTTCGAACGAGCACTTCCTACGTTTGGATCCCCAGAGAGAGCGGTCGTATTTGGTCGGAGGAGGGAGAGGGATCGTATTTTCCTCTCAAAAAAAGCTTTCAGTTGTTGTCCTTAGTAGCTTAACTGGAGCATTTCTCAGGAAAAGTGGTAGAAAGTAAGGAAGATATTAGAAAGGCGAAATGGTATTGGAAATGGAAAGAGGATGAAGGTTGGGAAGGGTGTTGGGCGTGTCGGAGGAGGAAGTTTTGAAGGGGTCTTATTTTGCAATTCTCTTCCGCAGTGGCAGGACATGCTCCGGCGGCAGCGCGAATTGAGAAGCTCCTTGGCAGATGAACACGCGTACCAGCCTTCTTTTTTGACCGGAGATTTCATTCAAAATAAAAACGGGCCAAAATAGCACTCAAAAAGGACTCTTGCACTATTAAACCTAAAAAGGTATGAATAGTTCTCGGAACAAATGGGGGATTCCTGACTATGACCAAAAAAACTATGACCAATTTG